AGACCCCTTGCCCGGCAGTCGTACTTGCGAACACTCGTCCAACGAGGCAGTCTCATACATTTGATTTAAAGACCAATTTTCCCACAGATATAAACATAGTTCCCAAAGGCAAGTTTTTATGAGCAAGCCCAAAAAAATATTACCTCGAAATCTCGTCCACGAAAAAACATGATCTGATCGATTCCAATGATAACTATTACAATACGTAGTAATTGCACCCAACAAAAACCTCTCACAAATTATAATAATGAAGAAATAAAATTAACAAAAAAGATAGAGACTTTGGTCATCATTCTGCTAGATGTTAATAAAATAAAAAATATTAACTGTTGAAAGATTATGGAGTCGTTTTATTGTGTAGTTACTGCGCAAATCTCATTACTTAATCATCACACAAATATTGTTTGAATGTTGGTCCGTCAATCACACTGAAACAGATTTCGATGAAATTCGGTAGACAAGCAGCCAGGTATGGGCTAACTTAGGTGATATTTTTATCTCGATTAAATGCTCCCATGGGATAAAACAGGATTATATGCGGACGAAGTCACAGTCAATAGATAGTACACAAAACTTGTTTTTAACTTCTTAGGACTAAATTCATAAAACAGGCAAACTTGCTTTTATCAAAGCAATCAATGAGTTCATGTACTTTAACGTAACCGTATGAAACAAGATGTGATAAACATAATCTGCTACATATACATATTTATAACTACTCAAAATATGAAAGTCTAATCGATCAAAACTTCAAAAAATTAATTGCCGATTAATAGAGACAATTCCATCCTTTCAATTATTTTTTATTTGGAGTTCCTCAGGGTTCTGATCTATGCCCTACGTGTTTATTGAAGTATAATTTGAAGCAAATTTCAAGAGATATAATTCGATATTTTGTGGTACATTTTAAAAGATATTACAATCGTTAAACGAAAATAAAATTAATTTACGACGAGAAAAATCGTCTAACAATTGCTGTCGTAAATCAAATAATTCTACTTAAATCTGTTGACATATTTTCAAGAAACACTTTCCCAATGAACTCCAATAATAACATTTATACAATTTCTTAGAAGTAATAAACAAGGAAGACTTGATTATGGTAAAAAATCAGCACGTTTCAGAGTAATAGAAGCGACATTTTTTCATGCCTCAGTCACGGGTTGTGAATAAAGTCAATAATAATATCATAATTGCTTCAAACCTATTGTAAGTTGACATACTAATAGAATTAGCGGCAATTATCTGCTGCACTTGCAAATAATTATATCAATTAATTGATTACCGTGTGTCTGCTGCCCCCACTTAGTAGGCGATTGTAACGATTTCATTATCACCTTCTTGTATATAGAGATGATTATAGTTATCTTAGTTTTATTAATGAAATAAAATCACACCTTTTCTTTCCTCATAGGTTAACTTAAAAAGTATTTACGATAGGCCAACAAAAAAGCAGACTAATCATCTGATGTCAAGTAAACACCACCGCTCATGCAATGTATGCACCTCAACACCTAAGATTGTATCATTTAGACTTAACTCTGGCGTTGCTTCACCCACTGCTCATCTTCTACGGACCCTAGTATAATGTTTCGTAGCCTGTAATCTTCCTCGATAAATAATCTAACACAAGAATATTGATTGAATTCGAAACTATTTTCGTGTTCAAACACACAAACATTTCAACTTTAAGATCACTACTGTCGTTTTATTACTAGCAACATATAGATGAGTGATATATTGCAACATGTTGTCCGCAGGAGGCACGGTTTGTTTTTCCTTAGGTTAAGTAACTACCACAACCACTCACAAGCTACTATTGTAAGTATATAATCCTTTATTGTTAAGTAAAAAGTTTGATGTAATTCCCACGTTTATTTCAATATTAGTTAGTTAAACTAATAAATATATCTGTGTGTAATCACAATTGCAATAAGCAAACAAAATGGTAGAAATTATCAAAATTTTATATAACTATTCCATAACCTTACCTTACCATTTTATTGCTTACCATTAGGTGATCCGTATGTTCGTTTACCGGCTTATGCCATAAAAAACATCCAACCAGATTAACTTGGTTTTACCAGATTAGCTTCGAAAACTTTCTTACCATGAACTATGAAAGCGTGAATTATACTTTTTTTCCCATATCTCTTAACCCATATCTTTAAAAAAGTTTTAAAACGTATTTCAAGACTGTTTTTATGGCATAAGCCGGTAAACGGGCAGACGGATCACCTGGATGAACCACCTAAGCAATCGGCGTCGCCTATTGACACCTGGAACACCAGAGGCGTTACAAGTGCGTTACCGGCCTATTGGGGATTAGGAGTTTGAGGATCGTTTGGGATTCAGGAATTGGGGAGATTGGGGAAGGGGAGGGTAATTGGGCCTCTGGTAACCTTACTCACACGACGAAACACAACACAAGCGTTGCTTCACGTCGGTTTTCTGTGAGGCCGTGGTATCACTCCGATCGAGCCGGCCTACATGCACGAATGGCCGAAGCATGGCTCTCCCACACTTAAGACTTGTCAGAATTTCAAAAATTATAAATTGATTTGTCACTTCAGTAGTTAAACGCATCAAATTGTCTTTGAAGCAGCTGAATCCTAAAAAAGGTCAAGCAGACTTTAAACACCAATCTACTTACCAAATATTGCGAAGTAACTTATCACCCACACAACCAAAAAACTGGTTTAGTGTTCTAATAACAAAAAAAGTAGATTAATGTCTGTTCGTAGCATTTTTTAAACCTCATCAAGAGCTTATAACAATAGAAGTATGTTGCGTTATAAGTGTTAATCTAATTTTGACTTAAGTAAAACTATATAAGGTTTGTTTTTCAAGGAGTGATTATATTCAAAGTCAAAGTCAAAGTCATTTATTTCAATTAGACCAGAAAGGCACTTTTGAACGTCAACAATAAAATTAATAGTGAAGCTATTTGCTCATTCCAAGGTGTAGATTCCTATGGAGAAGAACAAGCAAGAAACTCCATAGCTTACTCTTTTTCAATCAGGTTCACAATACAATTCTCCAGTTACATAGTTTGCTGTTTGGATTGTGCGAGAACAATGTAACACTAAAATCCAGTCAATAACCTTAAAGACAATAAATAATACAGTCTGGAGCTGACCAGTTCCAGTTGACGACGCCCGTTCACAAACATGACACGTATGTACACCAGCACCGCCCAACTCAACCACATTGTAGGGAATCGAGCGATCCACTGCTCGACCCACAGCCTATGAGACCTTTGAGTGAGCATGACAACTCCAAGCTGACACCATACATTCTAATTTAAATTTTGATTCATTTAGGTTTTGTACATCGCCTGGTATCTTATTATAACATTTAACACAGAATCCCATGAACGACTTACTTACTTTCGCCAATTTCGAAATTAGCTGACTTAATCTATTTTTATGCCTAGTTTCATAGTGGTGTCTATCCGACACTTTACCAAATAACTGTAGGTTTTTCCTAACATACATGATGTTTTCATAAATAAATTGACACGGAACGGTCATAATGTTGGTTTCCTTAAACCTCTGACAATGCGCTTTTGTAAAATAAAGATAGATTCAATGTCGGCAGCGTGTCCCCACAGCAAAATGCCATACGACATAATGCTACGAAAGTAACTGAAATACACCAGTCTTGCCGTGTCTATGTCGGTTAACTGTCGGATCTTCCGGACAGCATAAGCTGCAGAGCTCAATCGTTCCGCTAAACATATAATGTGAGGACCCCTTTGCAATTTGTCGCCTACAGTAATTCCCAAGAAAGTCTCTTTTACAAACTCTAATTTCTCACCATTCAACAAAATGTCACATTCGTTGCTTTTAACATTTGGTAAAACAAATCTAATACATTTTGTCTTTTTATCGTTTAGTACTAAGGTATTCAATGTAAACCAATTTTGAACCTTCATTAGGGCATTATTTACGTCGTCATAATTATTTGTGATTCTGTTTATTTTAAAAACTAATTAAGTTTCATCAGCAAATAATATCATCTGTGGTTTATTTTTAACTAAATAGGGCCAGTCATTTATGTACGCTAAAAATAAGAATAGATCTAGTATTGAGCCCTGCGGTCACCCATAGATATGCTAGCACCCTATGAATTTACTTTATTTACTTGTACTTTAAACTGTCAAACACCAAGCGGTCACCGGTGACCGCAACCTATTGTTCTATAATTGTGTCTATAATGACGGTACTCGACGGGTTAAGTTGCCTATCCTGAAGGTATGATTTCAACTGATTTAGCGACGTCCCCCGAATGCCGTAGTGTTTCAGCTTCAGCAATAGTGTCTCATGTTCAATACAGTCGAATGCCTTCGAAAGATCAAAAAATATTCCGATGGCATCCCGTGCTTCTTCCCAAGAGGCGAACACTCGCTTAATTAGAGCTACTCCCGCGTCAGTAGTGCAGCGATTCTACTTTTAATCTGGTACTTTCTAAGCGCTACGGTAAAAGTCCAATATAACCTGGAATTAACGTTATGACTTTACCCTATTAATCTATTGATTAACATTCACAAATCAATAGATGAGCTAAGTATAAGTTCGCAGGAGGCTGATTTGGGATGCCTTGTTTTTAGGGGGAACATCATCGAAAGACTTCTCCCGCCTGGGTGAGGCGGGAGGGAGTGTCAGACTCTTACTGACTAAAGACCACCCCGTTTCTACTCCTACACTTCGGAACCCTTTTCGGAACAATTATGTTCCATGTTTCAGCTTGATAATAAACCAATTAGTAATTTTGTGCTTTAGCTGCATTTCATGACAGTTATAATCATCACCTATCTTTTTAATTCAAGAAACATAACGCTCTTTAACATAATGAATGCAATGATTCCGTAAGAAATAACTTTCTTTTTTCTCTCTCTTAAATTATATCGCCTGGGTTTTTTAATCTAACTGGTTTAATATAAGGAAGAACCGAGGGAAATACCTAGTGTCCGAATTAAATCAAAAGAGGCAAATTTTTCACACAGCGACCAGTTGCTTTGAGTGGTGCACGAATCCTCGGTAGCAAAATGTTGATTGGTACTGTGTTCCTTATGTTGTTCCTTACTTGTGTTAAAACCGCTCCAGGTATGTACTTTTTATTATCATTATCAATAAACTATTTACCTAGAATCTAGATAACTTCAACATGATATTTATGCATTGTCACTTGTACCATTTTATCTCTGATCTAACTTATGTCTGACACAGTATAATAGTACTTCTTGTCATTTTATTTTATTAATAAAACTAAAATTGTTTGGTTTTGTTATGTTGCTCTCATCGTTTTAATTTGCGAAAAACAGTTCATGTTGAACAGGTTTTTTGTCTGCTTCAAACATTTTCCTTGTTTGTTCAATTTTGTGTCACATTCTTAAATATCAAACATTTGATTCTCTTATTATTATTTGTGTTTTATGGCATAAGCCGGTAAACGAGCAGACGATTTACCTGATGGTAAGCAATCGGCGTCGCCCATAGACACCCGAAACACCAAGGCGTTACAAGTACGTTACCGGCCTTTTGGGAATTGGGAATTTGAGGATTGTGGAGGATTCGGAAATTCGGGAGACTAGGGAGAAGGGTAATTAGGCCTCCAGTAACCTCACTCACACGACGAAACACAACGCAAGCGTTGCTTCACGTTGGTTTTCTATGAGGCCGTGGTATCACACACTTAGAACTTTCCAAATATTAATTATCAATCAAACCTTATCTTTTACCTCCTTCGATCTAAAACTTTCTGTCTTATTTTCAGAACCTCGACAGACCAAAGTGACTCTCATCCGTGACAGCTTACTTGGCTACAACTTCGATGCAGGAAACAAAAAGGCATCGGGTACACTTGACGGGACTCGAACCATCGACATCGATTTACCTGACGAAGCTGGTAACATACACTAACATAAATAATATTCTTCTTTTGTTATACAGCGTGTTTTGTATCTTAATTACTTGTTCGGTGTGAAGTCTACAAGAAGAAATTTCAACTAGAATATGTAGCACCTATGTGCTTAAATTTTATAAATGTATTGTTGTCTGTGATGTTTGTGTGCATCAACTATTAGATTTATCTTACTACGGGGCTTTTTTTATGGGTCAAGCCCGCCATAACCTCTCAAAACCGCTGCAACTCCTGTAAGCCAGGATCGACAGTAGATACAACCATGAAAACACCGGAACACTGAAGTCCGGCGCGTCCCAGGAACATGAGTAACTGTCTTGGTTCCCGCAACGAAGTGAATCAGAAGATATTATAAGAGGAGGAGAAGAAAAAAAAACTTAATAATTACTACGGGGCTGTGGAGAAACTTGGGGGGACTAGGGCTCCGGGTCAAAGCAGGAGCAGAAACGAGGTGGTTTTAGTCAGTAAGAGTCTGACACTCCCTCTCGCCTCATCCAATGTATAATAGTTACTTTTATCATGAGGGAGCAGACAGTTACAGTTGCCCAAAGTCTAGCACTTGACATATATTTATATAGATAAAAAAAACAATAAGCCGAACATAGTACCTCCTCCTTTTTTGAAGTCGGTAAAAAGACGTACTACTGTGGAACTTTAATTTAGAAAATAATTGAAAAATGATATTAATTTCAGCGGATAAAGCACCAGAGCTAACTCTACTGGAGAACGTGAACTCCGGCGCAGGGATTGCTTTAGGAGCCAACGTCGATTTAGACGCCATTATTGCTGCCAAGGACAAGTTTCTAGCCGGGAAGTTTACATTCTGGAGAAAGAGATAGATATATATACTTAAGTTATAAGGACTACTTTCGATGTATAAAGTAAAAATAAAAAACTAAAAAAGTATATTTTTTTATTTTTTTATAATCAAAAAAATAGACACATGAAACATTAATAGACGTAAATTTGTAGGCACTATTCGCATCGCACGTGCCACACTTTGAGAATACGGTAGTTGACAACTAGTTAAATTCAATACTTTTATGAGAAACGTCAAAAACGATACTGTTCTATGAATTTTGTACGAACGTCACATAGCACACTTATTTATATCTAAAATAATGCTAGAATAAATCGAAAATATAAGTATATAGGCAAATCAATGAATGAAAGTGTAACTATTTTTCAATATTTAATTGGACTGAAAAATCAAAATATTTTTTTTGACCCAGGAAAGTACCCTATTACATGGTGTGATGTTTTCATAATATACTATGAGTTCGAATACGCTTTCGAAGCCTGCTTTTTGCAATAGTTCACCAGTTGTCTTTTGTTTTAAACATTTTATTTCTTTGTAGAACTAAAGACTAAACCATTTTACGACGAAATGAAATTGATTTCACAATGTTTAAGTACCCGATATACTTATGTTGCAGATAGTTCATACAAATACAGTTTATACATTGTGAACCAAGCCTTAATAGTGTCTTATACATTATGCTCAAGGTATAAGAAAGACAACTCAAGCTTATGGTAAGCAAAAGAAAATTATATGTAGCTACTGTAATATGTTGCTTTGAGTTATTCTTAACTACCTTCTGCTCGCAGCTTCGCCCACGTTCCCTTGTTATAAGAGCCTATATGTTATTCCAGTAGATAATCCACTCTGTTCCAAATTTCATCTCGACCCCTTCAGCCGTTATGGCGTAACAAACATACAAACTTTCATATGTATAATAGGAATTAAAATGTTTATTGATGTAAAATTTCACTTTTGTAGTGATTAAAAGTAAAATTATACTTATTTGCAAAGATGTAAATTAGAATTATATGTATAATATTCTTTGTTATGTGAATATTTGTTTGAAATGTGTTATTAAATATTACTTACATGTGGCATTAAGTACGCCTTGTGTATCTTATTTATGTGTGCATTAAAGAAAAAAAATAGGTTCCTACTTCTTTTCATGTCCTTTTTTTTCTCAAAATGTATTAAAGGCTGTTGATTCTAAGAAGAGAAATGTTTTATTTCTGTCATTTTATTAAAACTTTGTCCTATAAAAGGGTTTACGTACAGGAATCGACCCCGCGACGCGTTTTTCTATTCGCTCAGACACTGCACTAGACCTGCAGTCAAAATTAAAGTTGTATATTTAAATATTGGATATATTATATATTATTATATATTATGTATAGTTATATATTATATGTTGGATATGAACAAATACAGTACGTAATTAAAAGTAAAAGTAATTAAATGTAGTTAGTTAAGTTAGATTAGGGTATGATGAGGCTGACATACCTTTGTAAGGGAAAGCCTCTAAATAAATAAAAATAAAAAAAAGTAAAAACTATTTCAAAGGTTTACAATATTTTAAAATGTTTAGTAAGTACTAACAACATACTTGAAAAAAACCTTTTATTATTGGTACGAAAAAAGGACTTAGTGTGAATATATTTAACTTAAACGCCATCGACATGTTTATGACGTTCAGCGCTGTGATTGGCCTCCTCCAATGGACCAACTAATCAGAAGGCTGAGGCCTTACTACGAGTTTGTATTACGTTTAAAAAAGTAACGATTAAGGTCGTGGTGGCCCGGAGGTTTAAGACCCTCTTCTCATGCATGAGGATGCGGGTTCGAAACGTACCAACGGCAAGTACCAATGTGACTTTTTCCGAGTTATATTATGTACTATCTAAGATTATCTAGACACCACTGACAAACGGTGAAGGAAAACATCGTGAGGAAACTTGGGCTTATAATTTCTAATTATAAGTTTGTAATCGCCAACCCGCATTGAGCAAGCGTGGTGATTAATGCTCAAACCTTTTCCGTGTGAGAAGAGGCTTTGCTCAGCAGTGGGCATTTATAGGCTGTTCATGATGAATCGAAACGAGTATGCATTCGGTGCTCTAATTGGCTGGCTGAATGCAGTAACGTTTCGATTGCGTTAACATAAATAAAAACTGGCAATTGTACACACGGCCACACATCAACCTATACAAAACCAGTTTATCCTGGCCTCGCATCGTATCATCTTTCCGCACATTTAACGTTCAGTTTATACTGGTTATGTAAAGCTCGATGTGTAGCCGTGTGTACCTCAGTCTTACACTAAAACATGACTCACTTCTAAAGCGTCTGCATTATACCTAATACTGGCAGCGAATGAGGATAAAAATAAATTTTTTGTATAATATAGAGTTGCCGGGGATTATGTTACGGGTGGTTGGGTTAAAAACATTCATAAACCACCATACAAGAAACTCGTTTGTTAATACATCGATAAGATTTCAAAACAATCTGTTTGTTCGCGAATATTTCCGTAATTGGGATGATGATCGCGTATGAAAATTAAAGATCGAATTAGTGAAGTTAGGTAATGATAAAATATTAGACACGTATTTTTTATTTTGTCGTATAATAAATGTACTTGGATAAAACGAATCAAAGTTTAGGAGTGGGGTTAAAACGTCATTTCTACGTATAAAATGTATGTATATAAAAGTGACGTCACGCGACATCTCAAATCAATATATCGTCGAAAGTATTCGTTTCTTTAAGAAAATAAAAAATACGTGTCTAATGATTTAATATAATCTACCAGACGGACATTAAAATAAAAATTAGGCATCTACACTATTATCTACTTCACACAATTCAAAGTGAAACGTAGCAAAAACTATTCAATCACCTAATATTTTAATATTTCCCTTTAGGTATACATTCATATTTTACGTATAATTTGGTAAGGAATGCGACGATATAGACGTTTTGCTTTTTACTTAGGAAAATGTTATTATTAAATAATAATACCTAAAAAATAATTTTTACACATAGAAAGTACAGCACAGTTCATGCAGCATTTACTAATAAGTATTCATAAATACTTTACATTCCACAAAGAAGTGATTCCAAGCTACACCTTGTCTATAATACTATCAAGACAAGACCAGAAAAAAGAAAAACGTATGCTGAATGTAGCTGTATCTTAACACCTACTACTATAATTTCAAGGATTCCCAGGGCAGCATTTTAGGTCCCATTGTCTTCGTGTAATACTTATACATTTATTTATGCAACAAATGAACATGACACAATCATTCCTGCTCTAAACTTTAGGTGATGCAGTGAAAACATGGTCGACGCTAAAATTTTATTCTTTACATAAAATGAATTAATATTGAAATTTACAATTCCACAACAGGTCTTAACAAATAATAGTATAACATAATCGTCATATTATGTTAATAAGCTTTGGTAATACCAATAATTATTATCACCTTTCCTCAATATAATGAAAGATGTAAATTTTTTGACTGTATAAGGAAGTCTGGCCGAATAACGTTACTAGTGAATTCCATGTTATATGTACTTTAATTTAATATTTTCAAAGTTTGCAACCAGTTCATTCTGTTTCGTTGTGTTAGCAAGATGGTGCGAAGCGTTGTGTGCCTGTTTCTGTTACTGTCATCCTGTATATACGCAGCTCCAGGTAAAATGGCTTTATCTATTAAAATATTCATAGTCAAATAATTTATTTATTGCCTCAGGGTGTAGTAAATTAACACCACATGCGACCTTTTTGTACATGTAGTTATGTGGAAGATGAATTATACAGTTCTTCTCTTTTTGAAGTTCTTTGAAGGGCTTTGTATGTCAGAGACCACATCGCCCGGTAAACTCAAAATCACTTAGGCTCAAAAAAAATTAATACACCTAATTATGCTTTAAACTAGGTCTTAACTTCCAAATATGTTCTTAAGATGCTATTCTTGACTTTATAGTTATTGTGTTTTAATGATCCATACTTTTTTTAGTGTTAATAAATTAAAGATATCAAAAAGAAAACAAAACTAAAGTTGATAATCAATAGACAAAATGTAAGATAATAAGGAAAACGAACAATATTATTTATTTAAAGAATCAAGAAAATTAATGAAATGGCTTATTCATAACCCGTTTGATTTGACATATCGAACAAGTTTTTTAAGTTACTAATTTATGGCCCAAATGCAGTTCCCTCACGATTATTGATCTTAACATTATTATTTTAAATTAATAGATATTATGAATTTGACTCAAAATTTTCTTTACATAGGTACCACTCAAAGTTACTTTGAAATAATAAAAACATGACAAAAAATAGTAACAACTTATTTCATTGGGTCATTTTTAAAACAAATCAATCTCCATTAGCTGATACTGCATAACATCACGCTATTTATCCCCAAGGAGTAGGCACAGGTGCACATTACGGCATTTAATGCCACTGTACAATATAACACCCACTCTTCACTATTTATGTTATGAGTCCCATGTAATAGGGGATGATCCTATTGCCATATACCGGGCACAATTCCAGACTCCGTGCTACTACTGAGAATTATAAAAAAAAAACCAGCAATACTTTGCCCTACCAAGAAATCGAACCCGAGAAACCCTTGCCCGAGTCGCACTTGCAACTACTCGGCCAACGAGGCAGTAACTGATACTGATTCAAAGGAATAATTTAAATTATATCGTAGGTGAAAGTACCTACGAACATAATTATATTTTTTAAATTCTCAATCCAACAAATATAGCCAGGCGAGATAGTGGCCAAACATCGACCAATCAAAATATAAAATGAAGCCGGTAAAAATAAAATAACACTGTCTTTTTTTATGGTATAAGCCGGTAAACGAGCAGACGGATCACCTGATGGTAAGCAATCGGCGTCGCCCATGGACACCTGGAACACCAGAGGCGTTACAAGTGCGTTACCGGCCTTTTGGAATTAGGAATTTGAGGATTGTTGGGGATTCAGGGACCTTTCCTTTTGGGGGTAATTGGACATCCGGTAACCTCACTCATACGACGAAACACAACATTGTTGTTTCACGTCTGTCTTCTGTGAGGCCGTGGTATCACTCCGGTCGAGCCGGCCCATTCATGCCGAAGCATGAATGGCCCGGCTCTCCCACACTTGAGCATGGCTCTCCCACAGTCAAGTCTTCTTTATATTTCCAGTGCCAGAAAGCGCAAAAGTATCGCTGATCAGAAACAGTACCTTCGGCTTGGCGTTAGCAGCGGGTCAAAGTAAAACTGCTGGGATTTTTGAAGGAAACAAGGATTTCAACATAGTAAGAGAAGTGGGTAGGTGAAATAACATTCATACTACATCTAATTATCTCTTCGCCATGATATGATGACAGAGTAAAATGACTTCTTACAACTTTAACAGAAATCGGGCAGCAGTAGTCTGTCTAAACGTGGGACCTAATTTGTCAGCAAGCTTTCTGGCAGAACGTGATAGAAATAAAATTGCAAGATTGTTTAAGCCAATAACGGACGTTTGGGATGAGCTTATAACTGAATGGCAGGGTAGATGGGCATCTTCTATTAAGGGCTGCCACCTGTATCAGTTCTTTCCATCCGTGCATGAGCGGCTGGAGAGGACATGGTTGGAGGTGGATCACTGTGTTGCCCAATTTCTTACTGGCCACGGCAACTTTAAAGGCAAATTGTTCTCATTTAAACTTGTAAGTCTTGAACCCAAAACCGATCGATCGACATTGATATTATAAAATTTCGTGCTCTTGAGTTGCAACACTAGCGCCCAGTGCATCCGTTTTGCGTGTATATTGAATGAACTAAATGGTATTGAGTTTGTTTTTATATTCCGTACTACATAACATCTACGCCTTTTACCCCCTGAAGGGGTAGGCACATCACGGCACTTAATGCCACTGTAATAAGTAGATATGTTATTTATTACTTTTATTTATTTATGTTGAACCTATTGCCATATACCGGGCACTATTCCAGACTCCGTGCTACTACTGAGATTTTTTTTTTAAAAACCCAATAATACTTTGCCCGACTCGGGAATCAAACCCGAGACCCGAGAGTTAGTTTTCTGGCAATGGTCCTGTAATGATTAATATGATTATACAATTTGATTCCGTCAACTGAAATTATGTCCTAGTTACCTCTGGGATTATCCTCATCAATGATTTTGCCTCTGGTACTTTTAACATTGATTTTTTTCTTTAATTTTAATCGCCTATAAATAACAATTTGTCTTTTACTACTTTCAGCAGGGAGACGTCCAGACTTCACTCTTCTTGAGAACGTGAACTCAGGCGCAGCTTTCGCTTTCGATCATAGTATCAGCATAGGTGTTATTAAAAACAATCTGTTTGGTGGTAAAAACCCATTTTCGGGATAAACATACGACTTGATAGAAATAATTAAATTACAAAATATGAATGGACACAAACGTAATTAAAATTACAAGGATGATACAGAGTAAATTCCTTTTCTGATACCCTTTCCGTCGCTAAACTTTATATTGTAACTTATGTTATGTAGTGAAAAGGTCCATTCTTCATTAACTGATTTCAGCTACTACTAACATTTTGACTCTGAAATGGCGTAATAAACCAGACTACAACCGTTTGTCTTATTTTTTACGGTTCGATATAGTCAATACATAGTCTGTCATAAATGTGTCATACTAGCTTGAAGCACTACATGTAATTGTACGGTCTGACATTATGCTTGTCTGTATTTTCTGAACCTCCTTTTTAAATTAACTAAAAATCGCGGGTTACTCACGTGAATATACTGAAAAAAGCTCTACTAATTTCGAATCACAGAGGGGTTCTTCCTCATGAGCAGCGTGCGTAGTCGCGGCGATGTCGCGCAGCCTACATCCTCCTTTCCTGGTTCTTCAGGTTCAAAAAATTATTAAAGAAATTATTTTTTGTCTATGTCTTCTTACGTAGAGTAATCAATTAAGCCGCTGTTGACGTTCCAAGAAACTCATAATTCTAAGTGCTGACGCATGTTACATATAGAATCACGTATAGTTTCAAAGACAAGCGCATTACTTGAGAAAAGACAGATAATTGCATATAAGCCAATCATCCAATTCTATTCATGTCACATTGAATCGTAAACAATCGGTTCACTCGACTGTTAAAATTTCTTGTACTTAGAGCAAAACGCTCATAATGTTTTACTTTGAAGATTAAAATTGAGTTCTGTGATCTGGAATGTGTGACATTGACTGATTTTATTTATTAATAAAATAATATTTGTTATTAAAAGTTATTGCAGAACTTAAATGCAGTTTTATTGAAGATCCATGCAGAGTTAGACAAACGTCGTCACTGTTAAACAAATAAGGTTGGTTTTTACAGTGGCAGTAAGTGCCGTAATGTGCACTTCTGCCAATCCCTTCGTGGATAAAAGGTGTGACGTTATGTTGTGTTCATTTTATGTGAGGCCGTGCTATTAGTCCGATCCATCAAGCGAGTAAGCGAAGCAAGGCCCATGTCTATAAAATACTGCTGATAAAATGATTTCGTTCAATTCAAAATTCCTTACTAACTAATATTATAAAACGGAAAGTGAGTTTGTTTGTTTATTTGTTCCGCTTTCACGCCGTAACTACTTAACCGACTGCTTTGATTTTTTGCAGAAGTAAAGTTAGAAGTCCAGATTAAATAATAGGGTACTTTTTATCCCGGAAAAAATTGATATTCCCGAGGGAAAACAAAAGTATTGGTATAGATGGCGCTGTGTGTATTGGTTTATGTCACATAGGCTACTTTTTATCCTTTTGTGACGCGAGCGAAGCCGCGGGTAAAAGCTAGTTTAAAATATATAGAACTAGCTTTGTGTAAAAAAACTAGCCTTGGCTAATGAAACTGATTAATATACTGCATCTTATTAACGTTGCAGACTAGTTTTTAATGTATTTTTAGACTTTTTTGGATTTATGATCACATAAAAATACTGGTCGCAGTTGATCAAAGTAAACATTACCAGGATGTGGGAAAAAACTCAGAAACTAAGAAACAGGATATTTCTTTAACATACCACCTTGTTTGCCGAGTGATCGCGAAGGTGACCGCCGAGCAATGGTCTCGGATTGACCAAAGTAAGTTAAAATAATTTATTTTAATTAGACCAGCAGCTGTAGCCAAATGCACTTATAGCGCTTGTCTACATGTAGAGAAGAAAACCAAATTATATGGAATTGACGTAAATTTTGAAACTTGTCAGTGTCATCCCCATACATTTAGTTTTTTAATCTCTTGGTAGACAAGCGCTAAAGCGGTGTTTGGCTAAAGGCAAACGACGGCACTTTTGTACGTCAACAAAAAAAATTAAAATTGAGTTATTTGCTCATTACAATGCCAAATTCCTATGAAGAGGCACGAGCAAGAAACTCCATTAGTTACTTCTTTTTCAATGAAGTTCACAATACAATTCTTTAGTCACATAGTTTTGTTGGTTCGTTTGATTCCGAGGTCGCCCCATAAACATTTAAGATTAACCCGAAGATTGTTCCATGGTTTTTATGAGATGCATTTAGTATTTTTTTTTTTTTCTTGTGTGTATATATATAAATTATTGTGAGAATTTATTTATTTAGATCAAAAACAATTCACATTGTGTGAATTTAATCTTAAAACGAATAACACAAGTAGTACAAAAGATTAAAAATTACATTACTAAAATCGAATTGTATTTAAAATAAAAATGATAGCCCAATACTGGTACCAAAAGAACAAAATTTGTGTGTTTTATTACATGAATATATTAATAAAACTGTTCCATATACACAATACAAGATACACGCTGACAAAAAATTTAAATTATCATTATTAATGTCAAAAACCAAAAAATAAACATATGATATTATGTTAAGAAGATAAAAACAATAGTAAGAATAAAAAAAAATTATCAGTGTCAAAAATAAAGAATAAAAAAATACTTTAGTGAGTATGTGTAGTGTCGTATCCACTAACCACCCCTAAACCTTGTCTTAACAAAAAGCTACTTGACGTCACGTAACACGTAAACGAACCATTTACTTACCTGTAGGTACCTCTTATGATGAAAATCAAAATGTCATTAAATATCCCCTTATCTCAAAGTCAAAGTCAAAGTCAAAATCATTTATTTCAATTAGACCAGGAAGACACTTTTGAACGTCAACAACAAAAAAAATTTAGAAGTGAAGCTAACCTAAGCGTTCCTCATAATTTAAGAGAGGTTAGTGGAAACGGGCATAAGAGTACCTTTATATGGAATAATCCGGTAAACGAGCAGACGGATCACCATAGACAAGCGAAACACCAGAGGCGTTACAATTACGTAATATTATTATGTATTTGTGAAATGCGAAGCATAATTCCGTCAAGTACGACCAGGAATAGAAGCGGCGACAGGAGGCAGCCTTGACGTACACCCGCATGCACTGTTATGTCATCCGATATCAGCCCGTCATAGGTTACCCTACAGGAATATTTCCTATAAATGCTCTCCAATAAACGGACAATCTTCGGCGGCACTCCGATGTCCAGTAGACGAGACCAGATGCTAGACCACTTCAACGTATCAAAAGCTTTTTCGAAGTCAACAAATGTGAGATAAATCTCACGTTGCCATTCTGATGCCTGTTCTAATATGATACGAAGAGTGTTGATCTGGTCCGTACATGAGCGGTTCGTGCGGAAACCAGCCTGTTCCCTGCGGAGCAGTGGATCTATGGCCTTCGTCAGCCTATCCAGAATGATTTTGCAAAAGACCTTAGCAGGTATCGAGAGCAATGTGATACCTCTCCAGTTGTCACATATACTAAGGTCTCCTTTCTTTGGCACAGTTATAATAAGACCTTTGTTCCAATCATCTGGGAGCTCTTCCTTAGTCCAAATTTTTACAATAAGAGGCGTTAGAACTTTGACGGCGGAGGATAAGTCGGCTTGTAGCATTTCCGCCGTGATTAGGTCGAGTCCTGGTGCTTTGCCTGTCTTTAAAGAGCGGACTGCTTTAGCTACTTCCGAGGCTGACGGTGGTTCAACGTCAATGTCAAGTAGCCGCGGTGGTGTGGAATAAATATTTAGTGCATCAGGTGTAGCTGTCGCTGATAAGCGGAAGACCTCTTCAAAGTGTTCACGCCAACGTGCCAGCTGCTCTTCTGGAGTCGCAATAAGCTGAGCATCCTTAGATTTCAGGGGCTTCTTCCTCCTAAACTTACTGTCACCTGCCAAGGATTTTGTTGCTTGGTATAAATCCTTTAAGTTGCCGGTGTTTGCAGCTTGTTGAGCACGATCCGCAATACCGTCAGCCCACTGTCGCCTATTCCTGCGGGTATTGCGGTAGATTTCCTTGCGCTTTTAACGGTATTGCGTGTTAAGATCGGCTCGAACAGTGTCGTTGTGAGTCTCAAGAAGCTTCAGATGAAGTTTTCTCCTATCTTCGATCAGATCCCATGTGCGTTGCGACATCCAGTCTTCTCGTGAGTGAGTCGTTTTGTGCCCTAAGACGAACAATGTAAACGATGTAAAAAATAAAAAGTTAATGCATAAGAAGCTAATGAATGTAAGATAACAAACAACAAAAAGGAATCAAGAAACGGTCGGTGAAGTCGTTCGTTTCGTACCTACATTTCGATGACTTATTTTTATTTACATACCTAACAATCAAAAAGATCATAATCTTGTGATCGAATTGGTTTCCTATTTATAGGAGATCATTCTGAACCGAGACACAGTAACCAGTTGTCGGCATACAAGTCTAGAAGTCAGTATGGTGCGGCTCACAGTGATAATATCATTCTTGTTCCTGGTCGCCTGCGTCTATGCATTTCCAGGTATTTATGACCTAAAACAGATAGACAGATATTTCATTTTCAATGATGACACACTTCTTGAACTTCTTTCCTTCTGTATACATTCAGTACGTCTTTATTATACAAAATATGTTTCGTTGGCTTATGGTCGTTATGAACATTTTTTTTTCTAATGGGTTGTAGATCAGCCAGTGGGACGCCATCCAGTGGTCCCCGCTACATTTATAAGGGTCGCATGGAGGGACTTAAACAAACAAAATTTTAATTTAAATCAAATCTAACTAGGTTTGAATTAATATTCTAATGTCCAAATGGCGCTTAAGTATAGTTCTGTCTCTATAAATTCTTTGTAAAAAGAAAGAGATGCCACGATATGTAAATACAACTTAAATAAAACTGAATAGCCTTTTAGTATTCGGGCGTAAACAATATATTATTGTATTTTTTTAAATTTAGTTATTGTTGAGTATTTTACTGGCTGAATATTAGTATTTTATTGAGATTTAGGTACTCAATTATACAAAGCTTTGCACGACCCGCCCCGCCCACCCCGGCTTTGCACGGGTGCAATATGCATGTATTATACATATAAACCTTCTGTAAGAATCACTCTATCTATTATAAAAACCGCATCAAAATCCGTTGCGTAGTTTTAAAGATCTAAGCATACATGTGGTGGTACAAGTCACAGACATAGGGTGGATAGCGACTTTGTTTTATACGATGTATGGTGATAACTATGTAGTGATGCGTTCCATATAAGGTCGAAGTGTGCCTATTACCATACACTGAGCACACCGCTAAGCTGAATATTGCAATTGTAGTTTACTTCCTCAGGTACTAAACTTTCCCTGGTAAAGAACAGTAGCTTCGGCTTAGGCTCGAGTGCATTTGGAGGAAAGACTGATGGAGTCGTAAAAACCAAAGATGAACTTGGAGTTGAGTTCCCTGGAAATACAGGTAACTTATAGTTTTATTTATTTTTCAAATTTACGCCCTTTGTTAACCCAAAAATGTATTTGGACACTTACTGTCATTAAGTATTTTTATGACATTATTTATTAATGATTTGTATCTTTCATTGGAAAGTTCCGGGATAAAATTTACCCCAGGTGTCAATCCAGACAAAAATGCAAATGTATTTAGTAGTTTTTGCCTCATAATCTTTCAGATTAATATTTTTTATAGGACTACTACTATAGCTTCTACCCGCGACTTCGTACGTGCAGTTCCGTTTTTACCCGTTCCCGTGAGATTTTCGGGAAATCCTAGGATAAAAGTATCTTATGTCCATTTCTTGGTTCTGAGCTGCCCAAAAATTTTTACCCAAATCAGTACAGCCGTTCTTGAGTTATAAGTAGTATATCTAATACGACTTTCTTTTCTATATTAACTATTTTAGGTATAGATTAAAAATAACCTAAAATGAAATCACGTATTTTTAATCAAGTTAGACCTCTGTAATCTGTTCTGCTATCAGGCACATAGAATAATTACCGTAATGGTATCGTTTCAGGAAATGATGCTGATATCTCACTGGTTGACAATGTGGACTCCGGCGCAGCCTTGGCGTTCGCAGGAGGTACTTCTACAGGTGTTAATAAAAACCAATATTTCCCTTTCGGATAAACTGTTAAATGTACACGTTAATTAAAATTTACGGCCTACTATGACTTATTAATTGTTTTAATATTTGTATAAATCCATTCCCATAGGACAGCTTATCCTGGTTTGGGTTCCTGACGTCTATCATTGTCACTTAAACTACGTAAAACCCTAAGGAGAACCAAAGTCCCTCACAAGCTTATCAATATTATAAAACTAGATCTAAGTTCTACATCACTATGTAGTTTGATGGAAAAATAAATAAATTATTATAAATAATAAAATATTAATTTATAGGTACTATAAAATTGTTATAAAAACTACGTTTAACCCTTTTACTTACCGTCAATAGACATAACTAAAGAACAATAGGTTGCGGTCACCGGTGTCCTCGCGGTATTTGACAGTTTAAAAAATAAACTTTTACCTAACTATTTCAGAAATTAGTTAACATATTAAAATTTTCCCCTAATCGGAGATAACAAACACTTCTCAAAATCACACCAAAATCGGTTAAGCCAATCGTGAGTTAATCGCGGACAAAAACACAAGCAGGTTACACTGAGAACCTGATGTTTATCGATTTATTGATGAAGATTTTATGGGTTAAATCAACTACAATTCAAATAAAAATTGCAATTCCAATAAAACACCCACTTTCCGCTAGGAGGTCTACTTACATATGTGTTACTTACATATATGAAAAAATATTATTTATAGTTCCAAAAAATATAAGTCAAGATTAACATCTCGGGGGCTAAAGCACTGCATCCCATGTATGAAGGTTCAGTTCGGAACCTAGCAGTTACCAATGTGGCCTTTTTGGTGTTATAAATATGTATACTAGCGGACCCAACAGACGTTGTCCTGCATATCCACTTGAATGTATAAACAAAAATTCATTCAAATTAGTGCAGCTGTTTAGGATCAATAACCTAATCATCTACTGCAGCGCCATCTGCCGGGCTGATTTGTGAATTTAAACCATTTCCAGATCCCCTTGAACACACACAAAAAATGTCATCAAAATCGGTCTAGTCGTTTGATAGAAGTTCAGTGACAGACACACTCACAGAAGAAATATATTATTATAATTATATAAAGATATTCTAAGATGATTAGAGACTATAAAGGAAAAGATCGTAAAGAAAAAGAACTTTAGAAACAAGAAAAGTCGGAACTGAAATTAGGGCATCATTAATATTTGTTATATACAGTTTAATTATTGTAAAATACATTAGTATTGACGTAACGAACAGAAACCAAAATGTTAAACATCAGCATAAACCAAATCCTTTACCAATTAAGTAGTTGACAGGATATGACAATTAAAAATCTAATTAGTCCGTCGTCAGTCGGACAATGAAAAAATATTAGACACGTTTTTTTTACTTTCTCATATACCTAGACAAAATACGTGTTTTAATACTTAGATAAAATGGAGTTAGGTTTATCAGTGGGAGGTGGCTATGTCACTGCTCTCTATAAATTGTAGTAAATCGTGGCGTCATACGATATTTTAAATCAATATGTCGTCGAAAGCTTTTCATTTAATAAAAAGAAAAAAATACGTGTCTAATGGTTCAACATGAGTCCACCAGGTGGACTTTCAAATAATTAGGAAACAAATTAGGAAACTACCTACCTTATTTATAACAAAAACTGGGAAGTAACATTTATTTTAAGAATTAGAACCTACGATAGCGGGGAACATTTCTCGTTGTGCTTATCACTATCATATTAGTAGCTGTAGATATGCCACTTAGCGCTTGTCTATATGTAGAATAGAAAACCAAATTATATGGGATTTACGTAAATTTTGACATTTGTCAGTGTCATCCCCATACATTTAGTTTTCTACTCTCTCTATAGACAAGCGCTAAAGTGGGGTTGGCAAAAGGCAAAGATTACAGTCTTCTTGTTCACACAACAATATTTCTGAGTATACACTTAATTTTAAAAGTTCAAACTATATTGTACAACGTGTATCATAATAACATAAATACAAAATATAATATTTCATTATTTCATCGATATACACAACTAAGGTATCTTGTACCTTATGCAAAAATATTGGTAAATTGTTTAGAAATTCCGTGCAAGACTCAAATCCTTTTGTTCAGAATTACAGTATATAAGTGCAAGAATAATATTGCTTAAACTGTTAAACACCAAGCGATCACCGGTGACCGCAACCTATTGTTCTATAATTGTGTCTATAATGACGGTACTCGACGAGTTAAATACTTTAACTTAGCCTAGTCTAAGTTTTAGCCTTTGACTGCCGACAGAAAACTGTTGAAGGCAAATCCTCCGCTAACGTAGGTCACCAGTGACATACGTGGCGGTTAACTTGTTAAAATACTAAGCTATTATTCCGTTCATAAAACATTTTAAGGACAACCCTAGCCTACTTTTACAGATACATGGCTACAATCGCAGATGGAGCCAGTAAGCCCCACTCCCTAAGCGCCTTATCGCGGAAATATAATATGTATCTTTAATATTAGACTGCCTCGTTGGCCGAGTGTTCGCAGGTGCGACTGCCGGGCAAGGGGTCTCGGGTTCGATTCCCGGGTCGGGCAAAGTATTACTGGGAAAAGTGGGTGTTACAGTGGTATAATGTGCACCTCTGCCTACCCCTTCGGGAACAAAAGGCGTGATGTTATGTTATGTCTTTAATATTAAAAGCAAAATAATTATAAAACTGTTACTATATGAGTATGAGTAACTCATTACCAGTGCTATATATTTACAACATCATATTATACTTTTGCATATTGAACGTATGTATATATTATTTCATATTTATTTTATAACACACGCTGCGTAATCTGATGTTTCAAAACATAAACGTGAAAATGAAAATTACCCAAAAAAACTAAAAATATATTCAAAGATACGGGGAAAGAATCTGTTTCTAGGTGCAGAATTTCTAACAGGAACGTCGTTGTTTTGGTTGTAACCAGCATCGTAGGGATGAGTTGGCTTCCGTCCTGGGTTTTGAAATGGACCATTAGAATCGGGAGCAGGATACTGGTGCCGTACATCATAGTCAGTGGTTGGATTCTGACCATAGTTATTGATATCATTTTGCCCGTGAACGTAACCACCTTCACTCTGTGGAGGTCTTGTGCTTCCATTGGCAGATTGTCCATTTCCTCTGTTTCCATTATTCACACCATAATCAGCCCCTGGACCTCCATCTCCGTTTTCGTTGTCATCACCATGACCAATACTGAAGCTGTAAGGTGGGTAATAGCCGCCTGATATGACACCGATGGCAATGCTTGGGTCGGTTGGAGTACCCTTCAACCGATACACAGGGTACTGCTGACCTGAAATTGATTAATATTTTTTTGAGAATTTTGAACTTACGAGGATAGGTATGTATTTATATCTAATTCCAAATGTTAACACTAGCCAATATTAATGACCACCATTTGCTAAATTGTTTAACATTGTACCATGACTCATAAAGAGTCGTCCTATTAGCACTTAGATTTTCAAGGTCAAATGTAATTATTCACCAGTTTGATTACTATGTCTTAATTACCTAATTGCTTTTGCAATTTCATGTTTCAATTCCGAAATCTACTGTTTTGTGCCCTGCACTCATTAGTGTTCTCTGCACACAGAACATGACACACCAGACGAAGCCGCTGGGACAACTAATCTCACAAGAAATACAAATACACTAGCTACTCCTGCGGTTTTACCGAGCTAAGTAATTATAATTTCTGAAAAATAGACTATACAATATAAACAGAATTTTTAAATTCGAACCAACAGTTCCGGAGATATGCGTCTTCAAACAAACAAACTTTTCAGCTTTATAAATTAAAGAGTAGGTATGTAGTATACATTAACTCCGAGCTGGGTACACCCATGTGTGTGAAATGTCATGTTCTCTTTTGATGACAATGGCGAATACAAAAAACCGGTTTTGTATTTTTAATAATTCATCCGTTTTTAAGGAAAATATACGACACTTCGTATATTATGCTGATGAGACCTTATTCGTTTTGCACTTTATTACTATATTTAAAAAAAAACACGATGTAGTTTCAAATAAAAGAACACTAAAACGTTACCTCTGCGTGGAGATTGGTCGCTTTCAAAACAATTAAATTAATAATAGGACACTCTTCCATTTTCACAGTATAATATACGGTATTGTTTACCTGAGACGGTGCAGACATAGAGAAATATAACAAAACCGGCCACGGAACGCGACATTGCGAACAACACTGAGTGGGGTCGACGCCAGACACACAAATACTATACATAGGTATTACGCTCCTGCCTGTATTTTATTGTACGACCAAGCGACCGTTCACACTGGCCACATAGAGCCGTGTCATGACTCAAAATATTACAGTCAAAGTTAATTACCTAGTAGGGGTGAAAACTATTTTGTTTGTTGTGAACACCTAAACAGTTACACCAATTTTGATGAAATGCGACACAATTATAGAAATAGTATAAACAAAAATCTGAAGAAAGTAGAAAGAAATATGTATTCATTTGACAAGAATACAAAAAATATAGCACCAACTAAGATTAAACATCATCATCATCAACAGCCTATAGATGCCCTTTGCTGAGCAAAGCCTCTTCTCACACACAGAAGGTTTGAGCATTAATCACCACGCGTGCTCAATGCGGGTTGGTGATTTCAAACTTATAATTAGAAATTATAAGCCCAGGTTTCCTCGCGATGTTTTTCTTCACCGTTTGTCAGTGATGTCTAGAACCAACACCCTCATGCATGAGAAGCGAGCCTTTTAAACCTCCGAGCCACCACGACCAGATTAAACATAATACAACAAAATACAATATTAGAGGTCGTGAGTTGAGCATGGAAATAGGGATGAAGTGTGTTAACAGATAAAAGCTACTTTTTAGCATCTGTTTGAAGTGTTTAAGTACCTATGTTTAAAGCATTTTACTAGAGACAGTATTGCAAATATTTAAATTTTATCTGTATTTAATAACATATATAAAAATAATATTTCAATAAATTAGTAAGAAGGACTCTTTAGGAGTGTTAACGTGACACGGATGTGCAATGTCCAGGTATTTCCAAAAGATATAGTTAATTATTTTTAAGCGATGATCTTTGGGTTTGTAGCATATAACATCACGAACTTATGACGTAAACAAAAGCTTAGCACAACACTATTTTGGGTTCCAATGTAACGTAGGACAAAAGTGACTAATTTGCCATTACATCATTTTTAATTCCAACTATATGTAGTGACATTCATTTTATTGTCACCGAGTTTCTCCTAAACGTAATTATGTTGTGTCTATTAAAAAAAAAAACAAAACAAAAGTGTAATTGAAGCGCGATTTGTAAAATGTTTAACATATGTATTACTGGATACCTGTAGACGATGTAACTCTATGATAAATTTGTTCGACTTGACTTTGAAATTCAGGACCACATAGATCAACGGCGTCCATATAATAGGGTAGTTTCCAGGGTAAGAAAATTAAAAATCTAATTAGTCCGTCAGTTAGATAATGAATAAATATTAGACACGTATATTTTTTATTTTCTCGTATATAGTTACAATACTTAAATAAAATGGCGTTAAGTTTAGAAGTAGGAGGTAGTTACGTCACAACGTGCTACATTTTGTGCCACGCTGTGACGTCACGCAACATTTCAAATCAATATATCGTCGAAACCATTTAATTTTGTGAGAAAAGATAAAATATGTGTCTAATATTTTAAAATAAACTACCAGACGGACATTAAAATAAAATTTAGAAAACTACCCTATTGTAAATATTTTATAAAACAAAGTTTATGTTTTTAAATTTGGTAACTAAAAAACTAAAAACTTCGAATCGTGACAATATAATGTACATAATCATAATGTTTCGATTCAAAATTTTGTTTTCGGGCGGGTCCATTGTGGCTATTTGTGCAATCAGTACAATCTGGCTATAAATCAGACGTCTATCATACTGCTAGATCTGTAATGGGGTGGGAAACTCCACACAGCTCGAAGGTCGCGGTGAGGTCGTTATGGCGTGGAACACTTAAAATTGAAGGACAAAAGTACAGTCAAGTTAAAAAGCAATTGAACATTAATTGCTTTTTAACATATTATGCAGGGACTGATAAAGGCAATTTTTAGTGACATACGCCAACAAAATCGATGGCAGAGGACCTAGTGTAAGTTTTTATTTTAAGTTAACGCGTTCAATCTCGTTGGCCATCACTTGTGTGCCTTCAGATTTAAGTCATTCTGTCTCCTGCAGTAATTCACCGAGGAAAACGGATACTATCGTATTATTCTTCTCCTCTTATAATAAATATGTTCTCATTTATTTTGTTGTGGGATCCAAGCCAGTATGTGTGCGATGTTTTCATTATTGTATTTACTGTAGATCCTGGCTTACAAGAGTTGCAGCGGTTGGTATGTTGCCACAACATACCCAAACTTAATTAACCAACCAGTCGATTCCACCTGATGGTAAACGATCACCGCTGGAAGGCCGAGGTAACATTCCGATTAAACACGTATAATTTAAAAATTGCCTACATAAATCCCATGATGTACAGAACCTAAACAACAATCTTAATGAATGATCAAATAGAGCGTTTGTGTTTACTATAAATTATAGTGCTAATCATAAAATAAATTAAAGTTACTATTCAAATATTTTAAACAAACATTAGTTTTTGTTTTTTTTTTTGTAAAGTGTAAACTGTTTTATGTCGTCGACAGTACCTACACTTTTTGTTAATCAATATTGTCTAACTATTTTTTTATAAACTTAAAGCCTACGCCTTTTGTGGAATATTAACACTACATATGTATACAGATTATTATATATTATGCTGTGCTATTATGCAATGGTGATGGTGATGTTTGAAGTTGTCTTGGGTATTGGATTTCTACAAAGTAGAATGAAAAAACTGAACAAAATTCAATAGTACATCAATGTCTTTTTATTTTTCAAGTGCCTTGTTGGCCGAGTGCTTGCAAGTGCGACGGGCAAAGAGTGGTTCCCGGGTCGGGCAAAATGTTAATGGGTCTGGAATTGTGGCTATATATGGCTATAGGCTTACCCCCTATTACATGGGACTCAGAACATAAATAGTGAAAAGTGAGTGTTACCACGCCTTTTATCCCCGGAGGTGGTAGGCAGAGGTGCACACAGAAGTAACACCCATTTTTCACTATTTTTGTTATGGGTCCCATGTAATAGGGTGTGAGCCTATGGCCATATACCGGGCACATTTCCAGACTCCGTAATACTACTGAGATTTTTTTTTAAAACCCAGTAATACTTCGCTCGACTCGGGAATCGAACCCGAGACCCCTTGCCCGGTAGTCGCACTTGCGACCATACGGCCAACGAAGCAGTCTTATACATAGTATATATGTCGCGGAGAACCTAACAGATGACCGGGGCTCCGGCTCGACGTGCGGGAGAAGGAACGGGGTGGTTTTTAGTCAGTAAGAGTCTGACACTCCCTCCCGCCTCACCCGGGCGGAAGCAGCCGATCGATGATTTTCCCCCTTAAAAAAAATACATAATATATATACATAGTATACTTACATTAAAATAAACTATAATTTGTTTTCAAGTACCTAAATAATCTTTAGTTTATTATTTAGGTACCAAAAGCCCCATTAATGATTGTGTTCTGAATCGGAAAACCCAGACTGGAGCGACGTAAGCGTGAGTGTATGTGGTAGTATATTTAGTTTATAAAAGGTGGTTCGTACGAATTTCACGGCTTAGTAGCGATTTCGCCCTAATTTTGTTCGCCCGAATCGGGCGAATGAACTACTTTCAATTTTGAATATTTTTTAGGGCCGGTTTCGCCCGAGACAAATTTAATAGCGGGCGAATCAGGTCAAGTAAAATTTAGTAATGGACTATTCGCCCAAATACTATTATACCTCAAAAAAATAAGCCTTTATCTATACATATAATAAAATTGTTGAAAAGTGCTGTCTGTACATTGAAAATAAAATAAAAAAAAATAGCAGGGGCTATTGTTATGGCGATGTCGAACCCAAAAATGTAACTAACTTTTTTTTTGTCTGTTTGTCTGTTTGTCTGTTCACGCTAATCTCAGAAACGGCTGATCCGAGTTGGATGCGGTTTTCATGAATATATTGTGGTATGCTTCAGTTATACTTTAGTGTTTGTTTCATGTAAATCGGTTCATAAATAAAAAAGTTATGTCAAATTAAAGAATCACGTCGAACACTATTCTATGCTTATACATACATCTATCTATATCTATTATATATAAATATATATGTATATTTTTAATAGGGTGCGGAAAAGGTGATAGTGGTTTTATTCCTCAGATTTCTCTCATTGCAAAAAATTTTCCGTTTAATTTTAAACGAATTCAGTTTCCAGTGAGCCTATGTTTCGCCATGACAATTAATAAAGCTCAAGGTCAGACTATAAAAGTTGTGGGTATAGATCTAAGTATCAGCTGTTTTTCGCACGGTCAATTGTATGTGGCTCTGTCCCGTGTTAGCAATCCCAGCAGCCTGTATGCTTTCACC